CAGGACATAGCACAAATGTAAACAGAAAAGGTTTAGGACTTGGGTAGACTCTGACACCAACCTCCCATCCATTTGAGGAGTGCCACCATAAAGAATTAGAGGGCCAACAACTTTGTCTAAGCACTGTTCTGGCTGCTTTGTGATTTTAAAATGTCACTGATGACACTCCCTTAAATTTTAAAATGTCACTGATGATGCTCCCTTAACTTTTGTGTTGCTCATCGTAGGAAGGCTTCCTCTTCGTCAGTTCCTGACATTGTTGAATTTGTAATTGCAGACTGTATGATTTCCTTCGAACCGCAGTCATAAGCTAGAGAAGTCCCAGAAGAAATGGGAACTGATTGTGTAATTAAGAGGTGGCTCTTCGTTATCCTTCCTTGCTTTTTAAATTGGACCCCTGGGCAGTTATTCTAGGAACAAGGGACAATGAAAAAAATATATATAGTCCACTTCTCATTCTCACCCTGGGTACAGGGCATGCAGGAGGGAAGTCTCTGATTAAGCTTATGCTCACTAAAATAATTAAACACATGTGGACCAACATCTGAATATATTCTCTTTTTGGAATCTGAAAATCATATATTGCTGAAAAGGAACAAATCTAAAGAACTATCAGTGAGATAAAGCATCTTTAAAGACTGACTTTTTTGAGAAGAAATTCATGTCAATTCTCAGTTTATATCCATTTTATTTGTTAGGAAATGGTTAGAGAAAAATCTGCGTACCCTGTATGGTGATGGAACATGACTCACACACAAGCTAATTAAATGAAGAAAGGTCCTACATCATGCTGATTTTCTTTTTTGCCATTATCATGACTCTTTTGGAGGTTTTAATTTTATTTTAATCAAAACTGAACTGTTGAAATTTATGAAATTAGTTACATTCACCTTTGAGTACTATTGATAAATTATCTTAGCCTGCCAGAATGGGTTTAATCATCTTTAGTTTTAATGTTAGTGGGTGGATTAACAATGTTGGCTCCTGATTTTTGCATGATTGCTGGTTAGATGGACATATAGATGTTTGGGATTTACAGATTTGTTGTATTCTCAAAACAGTATTCTCAATAAGTCTCTGCTTTTGAATTAGAAGCTGTATTCAGTTCTCTAGCTAAACCTGAATATGCCGGTTCTAGACTAAACTTCAAGGTGAATCCATGGATCAGCCTGGTGGTAAACTGAGCAAATGGTCCAAACTCAAAATTTTAAATTTATTCTATGAGCCCATCCTAGAATAGTGTCCATATGTTTCAAACTTAGTAATGGCGTGCCCACCACTGCCTATCTTTAACAAGAGGGATACTAACTTCCTAGTGAACTTTAACTCTCAACTTGACATGGCCTACAGTCACCTGAGAAAGGAGTCTTAATTAAGGAATTGTTTAGATCAGACTGTCCCATGGGCTTATCTATGTGGGTTGTCCTGATTGTTAATTGATATAAGAGGTACCAGCTGTATAATCAATGCAATTTAACATACTGGAGAATTTGGACTTTCACTAACCATATTTCCAAATATTTAAATGAGGTTTGTGGATTTAGATTAGAAAAGAACTGTCCACCTAAAAGAAAACCTAAAATAGAACACAATAAAATGTCATCAAGATATCATTTTAGTTGATATTTTTATCAATGAATTTCACTTTGGTTTTTGCTGTGCTCTTTAGTTAAGTTTTTCAAAGGAAAATGCTCATTTAAAAGCAAATTTTTATATTTCATTATTTGTTCAAAAAATGAATCACGAAATTTGCAGGCAAGAGATAGGACTGAAATATGACATAAAGTGAGCTTACCCAGGATCAGAAAGATAAATACTATGCTTTCTTTTCTCCTTTATGCTGTTAGCTTCTAACTTTTACATAAGAGGATTTTTTTTGTTAGAGTGTGCATATACTCTCAGAAACAATGAAAAAGGCGTCCACAAGGGGGGGAATATGGCATTTAGGGGATAATTTTGGAAGAATAAAATGGTACATGTGCAGTGGGAAGAGAAGTGAAAGTGGGAATACTGAGGGTGAAGGTGGAGCAGAAGGGACCAAAACTAAGTGCGTATGAAAATGCTTTAAGGTATTCTGTTACTTTGCATGCTGATTAAAAAATGAATCAAAAAATAAAAATAAAAGCAGCCCTTTCTCCATTAAGAGAGGAGTATTTAAGACAATGCATAACAAATAGAGGTGAAGTATTTTTATCGTAAATAAGAGCTCCTAACAAAGCGTTGAACGAAATGTGGCTGAAAGAACACCTCAGCAGTGAAGAGCACTTACTACTCTTGCAGAAGACCCAGGCTTGGTTCACAGCATGCACGTTAAGCAGCTCATTACCACCTGCAACTATGGTTCCAAGGAATCTGATGGGTATCTGCATGCATGTATATCCTTAGGCTTACTCACATATAAATAAAATACATTGAAAACATATTTTTAGCAGACACAGGAAAATTAAAAATCTTTCCTCAAAATAACAAGTACATTTTAATCTCTATGATTTTGTTTAGCCTTCTCAAACCTAGATGCTTTCACATGAAAGACCAACATCCAAATATTACCTGTTATAAATCCAATCTAAGTATACTCCAGAGAATTCTATACTCCAAAAATAGATAAAGCTTTTAATTTCTCTTAAACTTATCTGTATCTTTCTGAATGTATAATTTATTTGAAGGATCTTCTTTTATTGTAAGCTTGAAAATAACTTGAATTTAGGGAAAGATGATGAAGGGGAAGAAGAGAGGAATGGAGTTTGATTATATTCATAATCACAACCCTCTATGAATTATGTGTCTTGCAGAGGCATTGCACACAGAAGCAAAGTAAAATAGTTTCCTGAAAGGTGCCATTTGGAAGCAGATCTGGTGACATTATTCAGAAGAATTTGAGAAGATAGAGTAGAACACTGGGTAAAGGGACAGAATTGTGGTATTTCCCAACTGCTCCATCGCAGTTGACCTCGTTGGAAAAACCATCTTTTCAATAAGGAGACAACTGTAATGTAATGACAACAAATGTAAACCTAAGCTCCTCCTCCATCCTTCATGGCAAAGAAACCCAGGAGTCACTGGGGCCTGCGCTGGCTTTCACAAATACTATTGAGTCAGGAACATTTGTAAATACTGCTTATCGTATGGAGTAACATTTCTTCTCAGGTTCAACTAAATATTCAGATTGTTATTTAGAAGCACTCTCATTTCAAGGAAAGCACTACAGTGCACAGATATTGATGTTTCTATTCCAGAAAACAAGCTTCACCTCTCTAGGAGCCCAAGTCTCACACTGGGATTCCTCAAACATAGGTTTTAGGTGCCCCTCAAAGCGGAACATGCTTATTGCTAGCTTTAAAAAATCATGAGAATTTGTGACTTCCTTATGGAATGCTTGCTGTACTGTGACTCTAGTACCAAACTTGCTTCAGGTTTAAACATCTTTCCCAGGGGAGGATCTCTTGTGTTTTAAGAGTAGCTGAGAAATAGGAAAAGACTCTGATATTAAAACATTCAAGGCTCATGTAATATCATCCAGACAACAATAATCAGGAAAGAAGAGAAATTAAAACAGCAGCATTTTTATTCACTAGCTTAATGAAATCACAAAGTGAAGATCAGTGGAAAACTAAGGTAGGAGGCACCGTTCAAACGCAGTGGCATTTAAAATGAACTATAGCTGATTGTCATTAATCCTAAATTTGCATTTGCAGATTCACTTATTTCTAAATTTATTTACAGCTGTAATATCACTACTCACAGAGTGATAAGAGCATATATGTAGAATTATAGAAAGTATTGTGATTTAGATTCATTTCTGGTTAGGGAAAAAAAGTCATTTTCCTTCATTTTTAGTTTTAGTTTTCAAATCCTAAAGAACTATTTCTTATCTGGTCACTTCAATGCTACATTTTGTTCTTGTTTTTGTTCTCATTTTGATGATTCAAAAGAGCATCTGATAGTATATTGAATAGCTTTCTTGTTTTCCTGAATACAAGAAGGCCATGATATGTCTTTAAATAAAAATATACATGTTAAGTAAGGTTTGATCAGACATGATCATGACTTGAATTAAATATTAATTACTCAGTTATATTCAAATGAAGTATCTTTGAACAAAAGTTGAAAAACTTATACTTTGAGTCATCATTGAAAATATTTTGACCAGAGGCAAGAATCTAATACTGCATTTCTCTTGATGGGTCTGATGATTGTGTCTGATGACTCTGCATTTATTAATTCAGTGTTCAACATGATCACATAAGTGCCACACATACCAAGGACTGACTATACATTGTCCTTTCTTGTTGGGAAGTATTATTAGGTAGAATATCATGGATGACTAGTAAGCTATATGTAGTGTTTCTGACTCTTTATTCTTACTTATATGTTCAGGCCATTGTGAGATGATATCTCCATGTAGGAACTGTCCCTAACTGAGCAATAAAATTCAGCGGTATGTATACAGATGTAGGATACACTTGCCCTGGAGAATCGGGCTTCAAACTGTGAACCAGCTGGCTCACGGGTGAGAGAGGAAGAGACAAAGTAAAGCAGGTGTTGTTACTTACTTTAACTGGACTACTCTTGCTTTGCCCTATTCTTTATGTGGATAATTGATGGTTTGGGATCCAAAAGCAAGGGAAAAAGCTGTGTTTCTTTCACTTGTAATTCTATAATTCAACTTGGACTTTAATCTTACAGTTTCTTCCCCAAGTTTCTGTGTGAAACTGATTTCCTCCATCAGCATTTCTGAGTGAAATCATGATAGAATGTCAGCAGGCATAGAAACGTTTTACTTGATATCAACTAGCATAGAACTTGATTCGGATTAGACAGTCTTTCACATATACCCAAGTCAAGAGTTCTTGCTTATAAAAGTAATAAATAAAGCTTTAAAGTGTAATGGCATATTCCTTAACTTCTTTGAACAGCAATTTTAAATGTGGGTAAGCAACGAAAAAGGCAGTGAAAAGATCTGCCTGCAGATGATGTAAGGCTGACAGATTGGTCATTACCTCCGCAGACCACACCCTCCAGGTCTTCACAGCGCCGGTCATCACACTCGCAGGTCTTGCCGTATACCCTGCTGTCCCCTGGAGGGTAACAAGTGCATCTGCCACACTCGCATTTGCCTACAAGGTATCCAAAAAGAGCAGGGTTAGGAGAGTCAGTCTCAGAAGGGCCTTCAGAGAAACAAGCATGTTGATAATTTAAATCTCCTGAAGTATCCACCGTCTCTACAGCATGATAAAGGTCAGACACAAATGCTAGGAAACCTGGGGGTGGAAAGGAGACTGGCTGACATAGAAGCTTGCCAGGTGTTTTAGGCAACTTTTGTTTCAATTAACCCTGAGGGAGAAGTCCATGATGAAACTATTTAATATTTACTTTAGCTTGAATGTACTTCCAATTAAAATTATTAAAAATTATTACAAAAAAGCATCTTATATGCATAAAATAGTCATATACGATCAGTATATATTTCATTTAATTTAATGTAATTTGACTATTTTAAAGTTTTTTTAATTTGATGTAGAGCTTCACATGAGAAAAAATAATCATGGGAATATTTCTGTTTGATAACTTAGTGATTATTTGTGGGCAATTCCCTAGCTCGTATAATTCTTTTACTATGGAGCAAATGTCAAAACCTATGACCTTCCAAGTTATATTATATTTAGCCTAAAATCTCAAAGCACAAACATTTTACAGAACGAGTTTGGTCCATGCTTAAGGAAGACATCAGCTAGTGAGATGACACTTGCCAACATTATTTTTTCAGTTGTACCTAGATGCCAAACACTGATTCCTTGCCTTGTCCCATTTTTTATAGTACCACACATTGACTAGTATATTATACCCATTTCACAAGACAAGAAATTGAGATATCATTGAGGTTAAGTAGTTGTTCATGGTGAATCAACAAGTAAAGATTATATTCAAAATTTATATCCACTTTCACTAACTTTAAATCTTATTTACCTACCTATTAATTTATATTATATCTTAATATAGTATCATGAAACCACACAGGAAGAAATTTTCTTTTGTCTGAGAAATCATGCCAGTTTGCCAGAAATTCATCTGAGTGATAGAGCTTCAAGACATCTGTTACTCCCAGTCATTAGCCCAAGCATCATAATTACACACCCACTGACATGATCCCATGATGCTTCAGGGCTGGCTCTGCGATGCATTTGTATCTTGTTAAAGAAATTTGGAATTGGTGATGATGGAGGGAAAGAAATATAGTATTTAGAGTCACACAGTCTCAGAGCTGAAATTACAGATGATCTAATGCAGTGATTCAGTCCTTCTGGCAGGAGAGATGGGATGAGTGTCCCCTTTGAATACTGTGAATAAGGAGATACTTTCAAATCAGTGTTTTTTTCTCGCTTCAGAACAACTGCTCTTTCTACTTGAGGATAGCGCCAACTTCAGCAACAGAATAGGGTCTCATCTTGAATGACAGTCCTTCGCCCTGGGTGGCCAGAATGCAGACACAGAAATCTTCTTACTAGAGTCCTGGTTCTCAAGGATGAAAGAAAGGTACAGGCTCCTAGGAGAAACAGAGAGCTTAGCCCAGCAGACAGCACCAGCAACTTTCCAGGCTGATGCAGAGACTAATGACCTAGCACTTTTGTATTAATTTATACCCATTTCTGACCTTGTCTATATAGATACTCACACACTCTCCCAGGAACAAATGTACTGCTTTTAAAAAACCACGGTCTTTGAAAACATACAGCATCTGTAATCTGAGGGAGGGGTTGAGTATCAACATCAGGAGAAGAGGGGACCAATCTCTTTCTAATATGAGATTTAAGTCTGGTGGTATGGTTCAGGGGAATATGTGGGAGCTATAATAAAACATAGATGAGCAAGGACAGAAAGTGTCTTAGACTACAAATGAGCTGCGCAGCAGTGTAATGCAGACCAAGAAACTCTAAAGAGGTCATAGTTCTTATAACACCAGTTTCATTTTTACCACTGCAATTCTTTTGAAACATAATTAACCAGCAATATCTTCAGTGATCAAACTGGTCTGTCCCCTGAACTATGTTATAATGTAGTTCAGAAGTGGTAAGGATCTCTTCTTTTCAAATTTCTGCAGGCTATTGTTAGGTGTATCCTGTTTTGCTCAGTAAATCTTGCTCTCTTCCCATTTTATGCAAATATTGAATGTTGAATTTTCTGCAAGTTCATTCTTGGAATGTCTTCTGTATTTTCTCAAATAACATCCCATTCTCTATATTCTAAAAGCATCTACATGGTTAAGAAGCCCCAACACATAATTGAGCTATACCTAGCCCCTGTGAACAGACTGCTGTATTCTTTAATTAAACAATAATTCAATTAGTGCTATAAAACAACCCACTCAAATTAAATCATATCCTATAACATGGTAAATAAATAGTATTCAAAATCAGAGATTAGATAGAAACATGCTTGTGAAAGACATTGTTATTAATAGTGCAAATGAGCAAAAAATAAGACAAAATCAAACAGAAAAGGAGTAATTATTATCAGATGATATGTTTTCATATAAAATATGAAAATTGAAATTGAATTAAAATAGTAAAACATAAGGTAAGAATATATACTAAATCAGAAAGTTTTTACATTCTAACAGTAACCCAGCTAACAAAATGGAAATTGCCTTATATGCAAAAATAAGCAACACAAAATTAATAAACTTAAACTGTATTAAACTTAAACTGTATTATTACATAGATTCATCCTAAAGGCCCTGAGAGATATATCTGCTATGGGATAATGCTCTCTTATACACTGTGAAGATTTGTCCATCTTATTGGTTAAAACAAATAAACAAACAAGCAAACAAATGCTTATTGGCTAATAGTCAGACAGGAAATATAGGTGGGAATTTTGGAGAATTTTTGGAAGGGGAAAGACAGAGAGGGAGTCACAGCCAAATACAGAGGAAACAAGATGAGAATACCTTACTGAGAAAAGATACCAAGCTACATGACTAAACATAAGTAAGAATTGTGGGTTAATTTAAGTTGTAAGAGCTAGTTAATAATAGCCTGAGTTAATAGGCCAAACAGTTTATAACTAATATAGGACTCTGAACTTTTTTGGAACTGAACAGCTATGGGACTTGGCAGGACAGTGATGTAGGATGTCCTTCTGTATCTTTGTTGCTTTTATTGGATAATAAGTAAAGCTGTTCCAAGCAATAGAAGAGTAAAGCCAGGCAGGAAATCCAAACAGAGATATAGAGAGAGAGTAGGCAGAGTCAAGGAGATGCCATGTAGCTGCCAAAGGAAAAAGATTCCTAGAACCTTTACCAGTAAGCCACAGTTTCATGGCAATACACAGATTAATAGAAATGGGTTAATTTAAGAGGTAAGAACTAGTTAGGAATATGTGTGAGTCATTGACCAAACCGAATTGTAATTAATATCGTTTCTGTGGGATTATCTGGGTCTGGGCAGCTGGAAAACAAACGAGCAATCTCTGTTTACAAAATAGTGCCCAACATGGGTCATGGATCCACATAAAAGAGGGTTTCTAGACCTCCCAAAAAATCAGGAGTCAATTGGAACTTCTTGGTAGCTGCATATTTTCAGATAGTTCAGATAGGCCCTGTTTGCTGGCAGCAAGCAGAGGCATGGTTCTTTTTAATAGAAGGCTTCCTGATTCAGCATTATCAGCACAATCTCCTCAGATTAGTGGAGATGGATTAAATTAATATGTAAGAATTAGCCAATAAGAAGTTAGAGCTAATGGGCCAAGCAATATTTTAATTAATACAGTTTCTGTGTGGTTATTTTGGTTCTAAATGGCTGAGACAAACTAGCAGGCCCTCCCTCCAACAGATAACTGTTTTATTATATGTAATTTTACTATGTAAAAGTTAAAACCTTCCATTTTATTTAGAAAGAAAAATGGAAATGATGTGGGATATCCTTCTATAACTGTTTTGCTTTTATTGGATAATGAACAAAGCCATTTTGGCCAATGGCTTAGCAGAGTAAAGCCAGGCAGAGAATCTGAACAGAAATATATAGAGGGTGTAGGTGAAGTCAAGGAGATGCTATGTAGCTGCTAAAAGAGAAAGATACCCAGAACCTTTTTACCAGTAAGCAACAGCCTCATGGAGATACACAGGTTAATTTAAGATGTAAGAGCTAGCTAGGATATGCCTGTTCATAAGCCAAACAGTATTGTAATTAATATAGTTTCTGTGTAGTTATTTGGGCCTGCACAGCCAGTAAATAAACAAGCAGTCTCTGTGTCAACAGGACAACTCAGTCAGTAGATCATGAGACTCTTAAACTCAGAGTCATTCACATTGGGTGCTGAGATAAAGTATAATAAATAAAAACTCAGAAAGAGAAATTGGGTTGCAACCAAAAGACCTGAAAAGCAAAGTAGTCAGTCACTGCTATGTCTAACTCAGTCTGAAAATGGCTATCCTGCCTCTAGAAATTTCAGAATGAGATTGTGTCTGAGAGCTGTTTCCTTGCATTTTATAATCCTCTCTAGTTCTGGAATTGAAGGCACGCATCACCTTGTTTCTATGGCAACTAGTGCAGCTATTGGAATTAAAGGTGTGTGTTACAATTGCCTGGCTGTAAGGCTGACCAGTGTGGCTGTTATATTCTCCAGATCCTCGGGCAAGCATTATTTAATAAAATACAAATGAAATGTCACTACAAAAATTCCATCTATAAATGGTTCCCAAACATTTGGAAAAAATTTTCACATAAAGCCTGATAAAGCTTTAAAAAATTCTAAGCAGAGGAAATCAGAGTCAAACACAGCTTCTTAGTAACCACCTTTACTCTGGTAGGCTGTTTTCTGGATGCAAGCAGAGGTGTAGTTCTGTTAAGTAAAGCTTCTTAACACAACATTAACTGCAAAAACACATGGTGGCTCTTTCAAGAGTCTTTGCCACAAAACATTTAAATGGTGTTTATGGAGTATCAGGCTCCAGGGTGGGAGAATAAAACTAGAGAATCCACCAAGTTGCAACAATAAGTGTGGCTCCTGTCATAACTCTGCCATAAAGCTAGACTCCAAAAGCTAAGAAATGGAGTGGAGGAGCAGCCAAAAGTGCAGCTTTAATCCTAGTTATATCACTTAGTAAATTAAAGACTCA